AACAAATTTTATACTCATATTTTAATTCTTAGTTTTGTAGGAATCCCTCTTCTCTTGGCTGTTGCTTGAATATTTGATATACTGATACTTCCTGTTTTTCTTTTTAATAATGATGTGAAGATGCTAGGTTGGATTTTGATCACCTTGGCAACCATCGCTGTCTTAGTCTCCTGTTGTGTGGCAAGGTGCTGCTCTCCCCTCACGTCTCTGCAACATTGCTACTGGACCAGCCACCTCCAGAATGAGAGAGAACTCTTTGAACAAGCAGCAGAGCAGCACTCTCGGCTCCTCATCATGCAGCGCATAAAGAAGCTATTTGGCTTCATTCCCGGAAGTGAAGATGTCAAACACATCCGTATTCCTTCTTGTCAGGACTGGAAAGATATTTCAGTACCCACTCTTTTATGCGTAGGTGATGACTTGCGAGGTCACTATAGCTTCCTTGGAGATAGGGTGGATGAGGATAATGAGGAAGACAGATCAAGAGGTATTGAATTAAAACCTTGATTTCAGCACCTTTTATGAGTCAGATTGTTTAGCGGATACTTGGTTTTTATGATCAAAATGTTTCAGTGTAATCTCTTCATCTTTTTCTTTCTCTTCTGATATTTGTTTATATAAGTCCACCTCAAATATTTCTAAAATCAATTTGTTAGATAATTGTGCCAATCTCTCTTTTTGAGATTTTATCAATGGTCTGGTAATGCCTAGAGTGTCATTTTGGCCTAATGAAAAACAGTATGGCATGTGAAGTCACACAGAAATTTGCATCTTAGTTCTGTTATTTAGTAGCTGTGTGAAAATTAATATTTCTGAGAGCTATTTTGTCATCTGCACATTGTAGCTACCTGCTAGAGCTATTAGGAGAATTAAACATGATAACACAGTGTTTAGCACAGTGTTTTTCATAAAAATAGATGCCAATAAATGTTACTTTCTCTTTTGCATTCCATGTCTTCTATCACCATTTCCCCTGCATCTATTTTCTGGTTTTATCAGTTTCTACTTTAATATAATATCCACAACTTTCCACAGCCTCCCCTACTTTCTTCAGATCTAAGTATCTGACCTTGGGGGAAGCAGGACAAAAACCCCTTTTTAATCCAGTAACATGTGAGGGAGAAGCCCATGCAAGAAGGTCTTGAGTCATCCTACTATGAACCAGGGGACAATGATAAATTATTTTATCATTATTAGTATCATATTATTTGTACCATCTCCTTACTAGAAGCATTTTTATGGCCACTGCATATAAAGTTTCTTCTAGAAAGCTTCTCCACTGTGCTCTACTATAGAGATACCATTGGTACCTTTTCATTACCAAATTGCACCTTTGGACTCAAAATCCATTTTTGGAACCAAAACTGCAATCTGTACTTTTATATTCATTATCTGTAACTCCAAAAGAGAATAATTCCTGCTTGACATTGCTCTGCCTGGCTTTACTAAATGCAGCCTACAGTATCTGACAATTTTCTAATTTGTCTAGATTATTTCTATGATATATAGTGTCTCACGCCTGATTTTTGCTACGTTCACTGAAGAAACTTGCTCATTAGCAAAAATAAGCTATCTGAAGGGCTTCTGTTTATTTCTTTAGCCAAAACAATGCTAACTGAACAGTGGACCAACTGCCAATAGTCAATTTGATTTTCAAGATTGACTTTCAAGGAGACCAAGGAACTTGACTCTACTATCTAAAATGCAATTAACTACTTAGTAATCCACTTTTACACAATTATGGAAGTTTCTATTTTGTATAAAATTCTGGGTCCTTGAACTAAATAGAAGAAGAAGCAGAAAATGAAATAGAAATTGAAATGTTTTCAGGTTTTGTTTTGTCCTCTAATAAGAGACTGTATATTGTAGTTCTTTGCTGGGACAGGAGAACTGTCCCACCCTCACCATTACTCATCTGTCATTTGACCTTGGACAAATCAGTTCATCTCTCTGGGCCCTGGATTTTTTTCATCTATACAATAGGAATGATAATATTTTACCTCTTGGAAGGAAAGAACTAAACTAAATAAGTGCTTAAGGTCTCTCTTACATCAAGTATGATTTTTATGCTTATAGGTATACAAGTTAATGTTTATGTTTATATGTATACAACTTTCTGAAATGGTAATAGATCCAGGTTGCTTCTCTTGGAAGGAAAATGTCACCAACTCTGAATCTGAGCTTTCTCTGAAGACATTTATTGACATTCCACTTTTAAAAGAATATTAATGTACTGACCCTTTTCAAGTCATCAAGGAAAGCCATTCCAGTTTGTCAACTAACTCTACATCCAGTACTGATATGACATTAAATGAATGATGTTAAAAATACAAATAGAAGTATGTTATGGAAGTCAACTAGGGTTCTAGTCTCACTCTGATATAAGTGAGCTGTAAATATGGAGTGTCACATCCATTTTGCTCCCTAGTTCTGATCCATTTCTAAAATTGTTTCTATATACCTGATAATTTTTTTATTTTCCTCTGTATTGAATCATACTAGCTAAATGAACACTTTCAACCACACTCAGAATTTAGTTTATTGGTTTTCAGTAACTATACCACAGTAAAGACTCTTCAATAAGATTTTTGGCTAACAACAAAATCAAAGAATATTTGAAGTTATAGCATTACCTCATCAGAAAGAAGATTAATAGTTGTTTATACCCTAATAGCAAGAAACTTTATTTCCATTAGCTTCTGAAGCCCTTTCTACATCAAATTCTTAGATGTAAAAATTTTATATTTTGAACTAGTTAATCATGATCTTCTCCTAAAACTTTCTGGCAAATGATTCTAAGTATTCATTGGCTTTTCTACATGACTTCAGAGTGATTTATAGCATCTATGTGAACATTTAAAAGGTGGTACACATCCCTGGGATTTCATTGTACAGTACATTATCTATCTCAAATCAAATAAATTGAATTTTTAGTCTTTTCTTGGGGGGTGTGATCTATAGCATTCTTTTGTTCCACAGCTACTTAAATGAAACTTTTTCATTAAGAATATGGTACTGCCTCCCCTTTATACTTAATGGATTTATATAATTATAAAACATATAATTAAAATCAATTATGTGCTAACAGCACTTTATGTTTTGCTACTAAATGCTTTTGGCTACCACATCAAACCCTGGAGCTTGACATATGTAAATCTGCTCCTTTCTTAATTTCATTATCTCCTCCACGCTCCCACCATGACCTAAGTTGCCTTCTTCCCAGGAGACAAATACAAACCAATGTGTAGATGTGTTTTACTCAGCTTTCTTTTTTTTTCAAATGTTTTCCGAAGCTGAACTGTAGAACCGCATTTATACTGTCCTCAGTCTCTTTCCTCTGAACTCAGTCTTCCATTCATTTTTTTTGAAATTCTATTGCACAATTATAATAAACAACAGTGTGATTTTACTAGATGTTTTCTTGCATTTGGTTTGTAGCACAAAGGGAAATCACATGAATCCTAAAAAAGTTTGAAGTATCGTGGCCAACCAAAGACCTTCTGAATGCAAGTCTAGGTTGGTCTTTGCTATCTTGAAAACATAGGGTGTGGAGATATAACTTGAACTTCTAAATAGAATCTACCGAAATTTAGTACCAGTCAATAAAGAACAGACTGGCAGGCAGAGGAGCGTAGACAGCTACACGACTGGCTTCTTGAGCTGGAGGGTGTAAATCCATAAATGTGACGTCTGGACCGAATAGCAATGAATAGTATTTCCAGAGAGGCAAACTGTATTATTGCTGACCTGAATTATTTTTCTGTACTAACAACCAAGTATGAATAAGCTTCTGTAATTTCAGTATACTAGAACTTCAGCAACAGACCTGAATTATTTTTCTGTACCAACAACCAAGCATGATTAAGCTTCTGTAATTTCAGCATACTAAAACTTCAGCAACAGCATGAATTTCAAGTATGGGTTCCTCTTCTGCCACCCAGTGGTCAAAACAGGTGTCTGCACCATCTGTGGTAATGGTAGAAGTAGTAAAAAGAACGTGTAATACTCACTGTATGTACTTTTAACAAATTCTCCTACTTACACCTTTTGACACAGTGGCAAATAGTCACCTATTAAAAAGTAACTTGCTGAAATTGCTCAGTTTCAGGTATTCTGTTATAAGCTTAGTCCAGAAAATGGACTAAGACAGAGAAAGCAGAGTTGTGAGGGTGAGGATTCCCTAGGACCTATATTATAAACACACGGTCTTTAATCTGAGCTGAGAATGGGGCAGTTATGAGCGAAGTAGTGAAAAGGACTGGTTTAGATTGTAACTCTGGCTTCTGTGCTGAGTCAGAGTAGATTGTAGGCCAGGGAAGTGAGTTAGGCTGGAAAGCATTATTGAGATTCACTACTCTTGAAGAGATCTCTCTTCAGAGTACACCAAATTAAAATTTTATATGGCTCTTTGTGCTTTTGACTGGTGAAAAGTCTTTGAGATACCTGAGTAAGTGAAACATTAACCACATGAACTGTTCGAGAATTAAAATTAAGCATTAAATAAGGAATTCTCAACACTGAGCTTCTAAGAGTAGTGTGATTGCCTAGAAAACTCATCAGCACAAAAAAGTAAAAATAAACATCAAAAGAATTTTTAAAGACTGATAGTATTAGTAAATAGCAACTGCTAATATGCATTACCTGCAGAAGAAACTAAGATGAATACAAATAAGATAAATCTCTTAGGGACGTATTTTTTATTAGCAATAAAGATGAACAGAGAATAGCAATGCTTATAAGAAGGTATATGAATTTTTTAAATTACCAGTAAATAATATTGATACGGAGTTTACAACATGCTTACACATTATTTCATATTATCTGAATTATAAGCTTACGTATCTTGCAAATCACTAAGGCTAGGCTTCTCAGTTTTGGTTCCAGATCCTATGATGGAACCATAGCCTTAGTAGTTCTCACACTGCTATGAAGAAATAACTGAGACTGGGTAATTTATAAAGGAAAGAGTTTTAATTGACTCACAGTTCTGAATGGCTGAAAAGGCCTCATGGCAGAAGGGGAAGCAAACACATTTTTTTTTTCACATGGCTGCAAGAAGAATGAGTGCCCAGCGAGAAGGAAGCCCCTTATTAAAAAAAAAAAAAAAAACCATCAAATCTCATGAGAACTCACTATCACTAGGACAGGATGGGAATGAGTCAACTATCTCCACCTGGTCCCTCTCATGACACGCGGGGATTATGGAAACTACAAGATGAGATTTGGGTGGGAACACAGCCAAACCACATCAATGGCTCACACCATTTGCCTATCTGCAAAGCTTAAAACACGCTTGGCCTATAACATTTTAAATTACCAATTAAAAATGAAACACTAAAAGAAAGTCAATTTTCCCCATGAGAATTTTCCACAATTTCAGTTAAGGGACTTGCTGTGTTCTGTTAAGCATGTGTTATGGTCAAAATGAAATTAGAGATTCACTAAAAAATGCTTAATAATGCTATGTAGGTGTGACACAGATCTGGGGGTGTGTTTTCATGATTAAAAGACAGCCATCTCCAGTATCGAAATACTCTTAAGCCTTCTGAAGCATGTAGGATTTACAATGATACATAAGGTTTGAAAAGGATGCTTTACCAAAAATTATATTAACGAAATAGGAATGCAAATAAAAAGGTACTACGTTTACTACATTGCAATTAGCAACCAAAAGTTACCATGTTTTTCTAACGTCAACCTTGTATGTTTGCTGCTTTGCTGCATCTCATTTCTTTGGGTAGGTTGTTTTTATTATTCTCTTAAGAGAAAAAACTTTCGCTTGATTTTCTTTGATCCAGTAGTCATTTAAAGATGTACTACCATCTTCCTTGCTTCTACCTTCCTCACTTACCATTTTGGTCATCAGAACCGCATCTTTCCAGTTCTTCTAGCCAAAAATCATCCTTGACTCCCCGCTTAGGACTTATGCACTAGCTGTTCCCTCTGGCAGCTCTTTCCTGATAGCAAAGCATAATTCCTCAGAACTGAGGCGATACAGAAAAAAAAAAAAGAGCAAGTTACATCTGCAAAGTTAATTTATGTATTTTATTTGATTCTCACCATAGTTAGGAGACTTTACTTTTTTCCTGAAAGTTTAAAAGAAGGCCTGCAATCAACCCTTACTACCGTAAACACGGAAATCAGTACCAAAGTGTGCCTGAGTATGTTTGTTTTAAAGTGTTCCTCTGCTATAGGTAAGCAGTACTCCTCAATAAAAGATCAAAGTGCCTTCTTGTCTATGGGACATCACCATTTCAACAAAAGAAAACTTCAGAGGCTTCATCATTAGGAAGCTTTCATTTAAAAAGTGTTCCTCCCACTATACAAGTGAAACCAGCTTTAATACAGAGAAATCAAAACAAAGAAAAATACAAAAAAGTGGGGAACACCTTTGGAACATACTTTCTTAAAATTTTGCATTTTTTTCCGACTTAGCACAATAATATAATAAAGGAACATGGGATCCTTTATTACTATTAACATAAACAGCTAATATTCTTCTCATAAAGTTAATCATGTTTATTTAGCCATTTTCTCAGTTTTTGTCATAATGGTTCTTAGAAAATTTTCTTTGTAATCGTTGCGATGGCCTTGGAGATCACAGATACATGTTACTGCCTCAGGTTTATTCTTAGAAGTGGTATTACCAAATTAAAGGATCTCAACATTTCTCGGGGTACTGCAATTTTTACATTGTATATTAAAACTGTTATTACTGAGATCTACATTCTTTTTTTTTTTTTTTTTTTTTGAGACGGAGTTTCGCTCGTTACCCAGGCTGGAGTGCAATGGCGCGATGTCGACTCACCGCAACCTCCGCCTCCTGGGTTCAGGCAATTCTCCTGCCTCAGCCTCCTGAGTAGCTGGGATTACAGGCACGCACCACCATGCCCAGCTAATGTTTTGTATTTTTAGTAGAAACGGGGTTTCATCATGTTGACCAGGATGGTCTCGATCTCTTGACCTCGTGATCCACCCGCCTCGGCCTCCCAAAGTGCTGGGATTACAGGCGTGAGCCACCGCGCCCGGCCCAGATCTAAATTCTTTTCATCAATTCAAATACACAATCACAGACATCTTGAGATCTACAATACATTCCACCGCGTTCATTTCACAAATTCAGAAGTTAAGCTAAAGATCTGAACCCAGAAGCCAGACCTCCGGACTGCCAGTCTATCTCTCCACCGACTCACGCCGACTTATTTAAGCAGCTGGGCCGAAAGTTCCGAACCCTTTAAAGGCAGTGCAGAGCTTCTGCTCCCCCGCCCACTGGAATCGACACTAGTCCCAGCGCCTCATCCAACTCCCATGGGAGCAATACGTAGTTCGAAAAGCGCAGAAATCTGAACCCCACCACTAGTTCCACACTGCGTTGCCAGCCCGCAGCACCTAGGCCATAGGGTCAAACCGGAAACCGGAAAAGGTGAAGGCACCGGACGACCCTCTCCCAGGACCGGCCACTAGCGACACCATCCCTCCCTGGCGCGCGAGGCCGGCCTTTCAGCCCAGACTCATCGAGCGAGGATGCCGCGCTGAGAGGGTTCTCAGGCTCAAGCCCTGCAAAGCCCAGGAGCCGGCTGTAGGTGTCCTTGGCGAATGCCAGACCGCACATACCGTCCCAGCAAATCCCGAGCGAGTAAGGGACAGGCAGCAAATCAGTGGCCATCTAACCAGGCAGAATGAGTCAAACGCGGAAGTAGGGAGCAGGCGGAGGCCGGCGCGGAGCTGTTGCTAAGCAGGCCGGGCCTGGCTTTGGGCCCTGAGCCTTCCAGCCAGGACTCTGCGCCTGCGCCCGCCTGGCTGCAGCCTGCTCTCCCAGCGCGGCAGCTGTCGCGGCAGCTGCGCGCCGCCTAGGTGTCTGGGCAATCCATGGGCAAGAGCAAGGGCCGCGATGACAGATTACGGCGAGGAGCAGCGCAACGAGCTGGAGGCTCTGGAGTCCATCTACCCTGACTCCTTCACAGGTGACTTCCGCGGCCGCAAGCCCGCAGCCGCCCTGAGGAGGAGTGGGACGGGCAGGCGCTGCCCCAGCTCTGGGCCTCCTGGGCTGGGGTGGAAAAAGGGACCGCGAGGCCGCGCGGCCACCTTGCCGACTCTTCTGAAGTTCTTCAGTCACTTACCAGTAACCCAGCGACTTTTTCCCCCTTCTCTGCTTGTTCCCGGAAATCCAAAAGTCAGAGTGATGCTGGAGGGTGTCAGGCCTGGAAATTGAGTCAGGATTACTTTGGTTTCTGTGTAACCTACAGCAACCCGAGACCTATAATACATTAAGAGAAGAGATACTCCAACTGAGATTGTTTTTTGCAGAGCCTCAAGGATGTTAGTTTTCAGATTTTCACTCTTACTGAGCTAGAAACTGTTTTCGTACGATATTGTTTTATGGGATTCAGAATGCTGTTCTCAGTTACTCAATTCTGTTTTTAGAGTAGCGTAGTCCCTGAAGTCTGTCGAGTTTCTTTTCTTATGTAAAAAAAAAAAAAAAAAAAATCTGGCATGCAGCAGAATGCCTAATGGATAATGTGGCCCAAATTTCCTTTCCGCTGTAAATTCATAGGTTGTTAGATTGGAAGGGAGATTAGACATCATCTAGCCTGGGGCTCCTGCTACAAGCCAAGGTCATAGGGGCTCAGGAAAGCTAAGTGGCTTGCTCTGGACGGTCCGCCAGCGAGTTAGCCGCAGGGCTGGCTGGTACTAAGAGTTACGTCCGGAATGCTTGCCTGTTCTTTCACCTTCCAGACTTATGGGACTTGGGATTCAGCTCCAGCTGAAATTGGGGGAAGCAGATTACTTGATAGGTTAGGCTAATGTAAAATATTAAATGAGAAGTTCATTAGGTATAATTTAAAGGGAGAGGTTTCTCTATTAAGCAAGCCATGCTTCGGATGATTATAAACTTGCTACATAACCATATCAGTATGGCTCATTTGAGATTTGAGAAGATTTTCATAAAGCCAATATGAGTGAGTAGAACTTAGGTGCATGTATTTACATTCCCCATTCCTTCCTTTGAGTGTTGTCTATCACTGATAGTCAGAATTTATAGTGTAAGGTATGATACTTTAACTCATAAACTCCAACCCCTCTCCCTTTCATTGTTTAGTTTAGTTTTCTTGGCTCCACCTTTTGACCACTACTTGCAATGGTAGCAAATTTTATTTTGCTTTGCCAACAGGCAGATGTCTCTCAGCTATCCCTGTATAGCTCCAGTCCTGTTCATGTTCTCTCTCACCAGCAGTACATCTGTGCTGTGAGGATGTTAAGGGGATGAGTGAAGAGGGGTTTGAGAGTGTCATTAACTGGGTGAGTGTGTATGGAGTCTGGCTCCCTTCTCTATCCTTGCTTATATGTCTATGTCTAAAATAGAATATAGGGTCAGTTGTTGGATATATTCTTAATCATGTTTGGTCATTTCTAGTACTTTAGAAATATAATCGGTGTGAAAACTGTAGGCAGAGTCAAGAAAGCATAGGATGTGCTATTCTTTTCCTTTCTTTGTACATAAGCTATCCCTCACTAAATCCTATGCATATAAGCATATGTAAAGCTGGTATCTTTTTTTTTAACCCTGAAACAATCTTGTGGGTATTTCAAATTGTACTAGGCTCTGACAGCTTTGGTATAGTTCGCTATGTGAAATTCTTATCAGATGCCCAAGTGCTTGAGGATTCTGAGCCATGGTAATGAAAGACAGTTTATAAATCTTTTGATGCATTCAGATATTCTGCACTATCAGTTGAGCCATCTGTCTCTAACTCCTGTCAACATTTCTACAAGCTTTGCAATAAATAAAATGAGATGTCTTTATTTATAGTTCTTAGGGAACTTTGCCTTACTAGTGATCATGTTCTTTATGAAACCTCTTGGGGAAAAGACAGAGGACTTTGGGATAAAATGTTTCCATGTTTGATCTTTTAAAATCTTGGGGATTTGCAAGATTTGCTGTTTTATAGCCTTCTTTTGTATTTATGATCCCATACTTTTGTATTCTCATGCCAGGTTTAAGAAAGAGATCTTGCTTGTGTCAGTTGGCCAAGGAACACTAAATGGGAGTTAATAACTTCATTTTGAATCACATTTAATTATTGAATTGGGTAAATGCTCAATGCTACTAATGAAGGAAGTAGATATACTTTTTTTGATGGATGAGTGAGTGCTTGACAAAGAAGCATTTGTTAAGTGCATGTGACCCCATGTGGATGCTGAAGAGGCACAGTCTAGCCCATAGACCTAGGCACATAGATTTAGGCTAACCTCAGAATTAATTGCTTGAGTATTTGCAAAGAACTTTTGGTCCAGTGTTGCATTTGTTGTGAATTATAACAAATCATAATACAATTTCTTCTTTTTGCCTATTCTGTAGCTTGATTGCACATTGATCCAACCCTCCTAACAACTAGTCTTCCAAAATATAAATGGACTCTCCTGATACCACATTCTCCTTCAGTAGTGCTTCACTTGACAAGGTCCTGCTAAGGTAGTAGAATTTGGTTATTTCAATTTATGTATTGAAATCTCTGGCTGTGGGGAATTTTATTGGAACAAATTTGTTGGCATCAGGTTAACCAAAAGCCAAGTTTCCTTAATTCTGTTTGCCTTACAAAGAGGAGTACATAATCCTGTATTTCTTTGTCAGTACCTCTAAGCAGTAGCCGTTCACACTTGACAGTTAAAATTGTGTCTTGAGATATGTAAGAAGTCATCTTGTAAAAGCAGTTTGTTCTAAGACATACTTTTTGAAAGGTCAGATGCTCCCTAGCAACCAGAGATACTTATTTTAATACGGGGTCTCTGGTTTTTTGTGGAAATTAAAGGTAATTTGCGTATCTCATAATGTACCTTTTAGCTGCTAATTCTATTATCCCTGTTTTTGACAAAACTTTAATTCTGTCAGTTTCACCACCATCTGTCCCCTAATGTCTCTCCTGCCCTTCTTCTATGGCCAACATTTCCTTCTTTCTTTCTTTCTTTTTCTTTCTTTCTTTCTTCTTTCCTTCTTTCTTTCTTCTCTCTCTTTCTCTCTTCCCTCCCTCCCTCCTTCCCTCTTTTACTCCCTCCCTCCCTCTCTCCCTTCCCTCCCTCCTTCCCTCCCTTCCTTCCTCACCCTCCTACTTTCTTTCTTTCCTTTTTTAAGACAAGGTCTCACTCTGTCACCCAGGCTGGAGTGCAGTGCCCAGTCACTTCACTGGAGCCATGAACCTCTGGACTCAAGTGATCCTCCCACCTCAGCCTCCAGAGTAGCTGGAATTACAGGCTTGCAGTACTGTGCCTGGCTAATTTTTTCACTTTTTAATAATAGAGGTCTTGCTCCATTGCCCAGGCTAGTCTTGAACTCTTGGCCTCAAACAAATCTCCTGGCTCTACCTCCCAAAGTGCTGGGATTATAGGCATGAGCCACTGCACCTGGCCCAGCTTTACTCTTTTTCTCAAAAAAAATGTTTTTGAGAGAGTCTCCCTCTGTTGCCCAGGCCAGAGTGCACTGGCATGATCTTGGGTCACTGCAACCACCACCTCGCAGGTTCAAGGGATTCTCCTGCCTCAGTCTCCCAAGGAGTTGGGATTACAGGTATGTGCCACCATGCTTGGCTAATTTTTGTATTTTTAGTAGAGCCTGGAGTCTCGCTGTGTTGCCAAGGCTGGTCTTGAACTCTTGGTCTCAAGCGATCCACTGGCTTTGGCCTCCCAGAGTGCTAGGATTACGAGTGTGAGTCACCATACCTGGCCCTCAAAAGTATTTTGATTTACTTACAGGTGTGGAAGTCTGGCATCTTTAGTGAAGATTAATCTTTCTTCCACTTACCCTAACTCACAGTAATGCATGGAAATAGATTAGTCCTTTATCAGAACTCAGGAATTATCTATTTTTGCAAATCCAATTAAGTAACTTTCCCATCCATATTTTAGTTACTGTCCAACTTTGAAATATTATTCCTTTTTCTGTTTTTTAAAAATATTTATTTTAATAGGATTAGTTTCAGCTGTGACAGAAAATCCCCAATAATACTGGTTTTTTAAAAGGTAAAAACTTATTTTGCCCTTGCACATAAAACAGAGTGTGGCAGCTCTATTTCAAGAATTTCTCAGGGACCCATCTTCTAACGTAGCTCTCTGTCATCCCTAAGGTGTAGTCTCACACTTGGGGTCAAGGTGGTAGCATTCCCTCTCCAGGAAGTATGATAAATAAAGGGATGAAGAGCAACAGAGAAGTAAAAAATGGCAGTTTCTTATGGAAATTTCTTGGAAACTGTCAAAGGTCACATCTACTTCCATCTTTTTAGTGAGAACTTAGTCATTTTGTAAGGGCTAGCTGGAAATGAAACCAGGAAATGTCTTCATTCTGGGTAGTCATTATGCTCAGTTAAAAATGGCATGACTTAAATAAGGAGAGAGTGGATGTTGGGGGACTTTTAGCAGTACTTCCCAATATCTTTTTTCTTTGTTTTACTTGCTTCACATTTTTTTTCTCTGTAGTGGCAACTTTATGTAGTGTCCTTGGACAA